AAAAAAAGAAAAAAAGAAAAAAGAAAAAGGGGATTAGACGGACTAGGCGCGCCTTTTAGTTGGAAAACGCATTTTTCCCGCATTTCCCGAATTCGACGCGTTTTGGTCGCGCGTCGCGCCTAGGCGGCGCGTTTTCCCCTTTTTTAGAACAATGATGAATAGTCAACATATAGCAAAAAAGGAGGAGAATTTTTTTATTGAGAAAAGGTATGGCTAGAGATTGGAATCACTAGATTATCATCTCGAGCACCAAGATGTTATCAGAATGATGGCAAAATATTTTTCTGAAAACTCTTGCTGTGGCGGGAATTGTATGAACACAAATGTTAGCACGAGTTTGGACCCATTTACCATCATCGGCAATCAACGCCTAACTCAATAGCTTGAAATTATGGTCTTCCTTATATGCTACCTCTTGTAGTTCATTGCAGCGTTTCATCATTTCCAAGTTGGTCTAGCCAAACTCTCCGCACATTTCTTACCTTGGTAACATAAATATATGAACAACTAGCACTTGTCGTATTGAATACAGATGAAACGATGGGGTCAAGGTTTAATTGATCATGACCGGTATGTTCAAAGAACCATTAGTAGAAGGTGACTTACAATTTCCTTCACCTTCCTTCCTACCTTGTGGGGGGACTGAGTTAGATGTCTGTCATTTACTATATTTTATTTATCACCTGTTCTTTAATATTGACGTAGAATTTTAAATTTACATAACTGATAGTGTAAGATTTTGCTCGGAAGTTCCATTGCCCAGTAAAACTGCTCAGGTTAGAATTATTATTAGATAGAAAGCTTCTATCTGCTTCCTTTTCGGAGGGAAATAACCCGGATAATGCGAAAGAGAAGTATGATGGAATACTAGATGAAACCTATACGAATATCCCCAGCACAGTACAGCTCTTACAATTCCACAGAGGTTGCCTTAGGATCTGAATTTTCAACTCAGGGTCGTCTCACAGCTGAAAAAGGAAAAATAAATTATGAAAACAAAGGTTAGAACAACGTAAAGAAGATAACTCGACAACTTAACTGGCCGGATCAAACTAACACTAACAGTCACCATGGAGGCATTCACTGATGGGTGGGGAATAGGGACCTCCTATTGTTCAAGTTGTTATTGGACTAAGAGCGGTTGTCACTTGTCAGATTTACGAAGACTAACTACTGGTGGCTACTACCGCATATAAATTCATACCACCTAGCAATAAACTGAGAATTGGAGAGAAAATCATATCAAACAAAATTCAAGACTCGCATTTGATAGATGATCATGCAAGACAAGTAAGCTTGGATCTGGTATTAGCCTCAGCTAGTGGATTAGTCTTCTCCTTATTCACCACCCGAACATCCCAAATGTGTATAACCCCATCAGGTGATGCAGATGCCACAATGTATGGATCCTCCTCCCCAGAATCACTAATCTTAGATAATACAACGATGCCTTTGACACGGGCTGCATGAGCATCTTCAATGCGATATGCCACTTTTCCACTGGCTGCATCCCACGCTGTCACATTCCTATCCTCTCCCCCTGTAAATAAAATGTCATTCTGCCAAAAAGGTTTCTAATAAGCATGGCATAAATAAGATCAAAGAAAATTACATACAAAAAGCTAGAAATCATATTGTGCATGGGGCAGCACAAAGGACTCTTTTCCGATTATCCAACTTGAAAATTAATTTTGCATCCTCAAATTCGTGCACACTTTGAGTTACTCGGGCCCACCCCCTCCCTCACACGGTGTTGGGCCCCACGCATTTATTGGATGTGGGACCCGACCTCCATGCGAGGGAGGAGGTGGGTCGAGTAATCCAAAATGTAATCCAAAGTGGTTGAGTAGCATAATTCTACAATTTTTTTGGAATCCATTCTCTTTCTCATTTTTTCCTCTTTCTTCATTTCAACCACACATTCTCCAAATAAATTAACATTACGCACAAATCTAAAACTTTTTTCACTTTTCCACCACATTCTCCCACCAATCACTATTTCAAAAATTTTCAACCTATTAAAATGAGTGTCAAACACTCACTAAGTTATATCAATTAGAAAGAAAAATAAATAAAAAATTGTAGTGCTTGTTATTCGACATGCTTTAATGATATACATTTAAGTTTTAAAATCATATAAACTAGTAATTGTCAATTGGGAAACGTGAGGGAGAGAATGTAAAAATTTCGCTTATGATGCAAATTGATCAATATTTTGGTTCAATCTTGAAACAGCTTTCTTTTTTATTTTCTTTATTTATTTGGAAAGATTTAAAAACATCACAAGTTCCTATTTATGATATTAGATGATAAATAGTCTATTCTACAATGTGATTATAAAAAATGTAGTCCTTCCGATGCATTTCTCCATTCATGAATGTCAGTCACGCCTCTCATGCTTCCAGCCAATGTGATGAGTGCAAGTGGCAAACCATCACATCTATTTACCATTTCCTCGCAAATCTCTTCTGCTTCCACAGATAGTTCATCACGATCAAGTGTCTTCCAGAATAGGTCCAAAGCTTCTTGCTCGGAAAGTGTGTTCACTTTTATAATCTTCTTGCAATTCATACGACGACAAACTTCTTCTGATCGACTTGTTACGACCAACTTGCATCCATCCCTTTTTGAAGGAATGCCTATCTTCTCTGCATTAATTTGTTTCCAAACATCATCCAGTATAAGCACAAATCTCTCCATTTTCTGGAATTTCTGGAAGAGTTTAGCTGCCCTTTTCCCCTCATCTTTATCATCTTCGATATTTAGTTTCAGTACTTGGGCAATGTCACTTTGCAATTTGTAAATGTTGAACTCTTGAGAGACGGTGACCCAATAAACATGACCCGAGAATATGGATTCCCTCAATAGCCTATCATGGACATGCTGTGCCAGAGTCGTCTTGCCTACTCCCTTCATTCCATAAATGCCAATGCTTACGGCGTTGACATCTGTTAATGATGGCCAGATGTCCTCTGAATTTTGTCGAAATGCTCGGCCATTCGGTTCGGGTATTAACAATAACCGGTCAATACTCTCATCAACCTCAAGAAAAAGCCCGCTAGGAAATTCACTTTGAGCATCAAGCTCCGTCACCTCATCGATCATTCTTTTAAGCTGTTCAGCCAACTTTTGTCGTTTGAAAACATGATAAAATCTGCTATTTTGTGCTACTCGTTGTTCCAAGGTTCCAAAATCATTCATAATGTCTTCAACCTTATCCATCCAATCTTCAACCTCTGTCTTGCGTTTTTTTCCAGAACGACATGTTGCATCTTTGACATCATCTTTTCGTGTTTCCAGTAATCGTATTTTTCTTTGAAGAGTCTCCGTTTTCTCCTCCAAGTTTGGTAATATCTGTGCAACAACGTTGGGTAACTGTACAGAAAATTCGAACCACTTATCCATGTGGCTTCTTCCTGCAAATATGATGTAATATTGTTATATACAGTCAAAATACCAATGGAACACTTTAGATATTACTTTTTGAAATATTAAATTAGGAATCCTTCAATTTGTACAATCTCAATCAAGAAAATTTCAAATCATTAATTTATTTCAAAACATGTGAACTTTTACGGAAACTTAAATTAAGAGATAATTATATACTATTTAAATTTAAAAAACTACTCTATTATTTTGCTGACAATAAACTAGTCAAGGTTCCTATCCACCCACACAAATGACGACATGTTATATCAAAATTAACGCAAATGAAAATTACAAAATCCTTATTTATCCCCTAAAAAATTGTAGTAATTTGATGTTGAGAAAAAGAGATACTGTACTCAATTGGCCGTTTTGAACATGAGACCAAATTTCCTCCAAAATTGAGCATATCACTCCAAACGCTTCGAGAACGAAGGTGCAAGATTGATTCAAAGTAAGAATCATTTATTAATAATTATTTAATCAGAACAATCAATTAAAACATTTAACGATCATAGAAAGAGGTCAATATTACATAATATATTTACCTGTGAATCGAATAGTCTTTGAAAATCCTAAAACAGACTGGGCAAGGAGCAAAGATGAATC